TGGCATAAATGAATAATAACCATGTGATATAATAAAAGGATGTATATTCAAAATAATGTTCAAGGTGTTTGTGTGGTGTGTGTGAGTGAGTGTGTGTGTGTGTGTGAGATGAATGGGTCTTTGTTTCCCCAGAGTAGGTGGGGGGAGTGAGCTGTGAGTGTGTGTGGGGCTCTTCCCCTCCCCTCGCATTCAACAGGAGACCTGGATGTGTAAAGTTTTCTACTTTCCCGAACACTTAGTGGCTTAGAATCACAGTAAAACTTAACTCAAACACTTCAAAAGTTAACAAACAACAAAAGGGTCACTTGTAAATTATTTAATCTAAAAGGAGTCGGCAGCCTGGCCAGAGCTGACGACTAAAGATATTAGCGATGATCAATAAGCAGTTTATTCTTTCAAAATGACCCGGCGGACGTGTTTTGGGAACGAAAGAGGAAAACACGAAGCTACTTTTTAAGCAATAGCGCGGTTTTATTGCTTATTCTGGACTATAGAGGAAACGGGAGAAGAAAAGGAGAGAAAAAAAATGAGTTTTCTGATCACCAGATGAGCAGCAAGGCGTCCCCGCTGTTATGATTTGACGGTTCTCCGTTTTTCTCCGCAGTTTTCAGCGTCATCCGTCGGTTTGATGCTTTCTCCGTTGTTTGGCTCCACGTGTGTTTCTCCACGGGCTGGACACAAAGAGAACGAAGTTTCTTTTGTGCTGAGTTTGACAACTTACAGCGTCTCTGAGAGCTGAATGGAGCTCCGCTCGTTCCCAGTCAGGTCCCGATGGAGTTGAGTGTAGTTTCCAGCGGTTGCGTGGGCTCAACTTGGCACTTAGAGCTTCCGCGTGCTCAAGTTGTCGGAGCGTTCGACAAGCGTGTCCTTACCGCCAGGTATCCTGGGCAAAAGAACGAGGTTTCTTTGTCTCTGCTGAAGATTTATGGTCTTAGTTCGCGGGAAAAGCTCCACGGCTTCCCGCACATGCGCAGAACGTGTTTCTGGTACTAGGCGGTGACATCACCCAATGCTTCCGTGTGCAAAGCATCATGGGAAATGAAGTTTCTTGGCGCTGATGTGATTATTTGCTTTTCAGAGCAATTTAAGCACAGTCATTTTGGAGAAAATCACTGCATAGTAATTTCCTCATGAGGTCAGACCCTCAACAAGGACTTTGGATAAAAATGGAAGGTTAGATATTGGTCTATAATTCATTGGGTCATCTGGATCCAGAGAAGGCTTCTTAAGTGAAGGTTTGATTACAGCAACCTTAAAATCTTGTGGTACATATCCATTTACTAAGGATAGATTGATTATATCTAGAATGGTGGAAGTAACCAAAGGAAATGCTTCTTTAAATAATTTGGTTGGGATTGGATCCAAAATGCAAGTTGAAGGTTTAGATTAAGCTAATATTTTTGATAACTCTGAAAGCTCAACTGCATCAAAACGGTTCAAGCACAGATTAGGGTCTACAGTCACCTCTGATGCTGCCTCACTTACTGAGGAAGAAGAAATCGCATTAGGGAGGATGCTAATGATTTTGTTTCTAATAGAATTAATTTTACTTGTAAAAAATCCCATAAAGTCATTGCTGCTGAGGGCTAAGGGAATAGATGGCTCAGAGCTATGATTCTGTGTAAGTTTAGCAACTGTACTGAAAAGAAATTTAGGATTATGCTTATTCTCCTCAATTAATGCTGAGAAATAAGCCGTTCTAGTTTGTCGAAGCATATTTTATAAAGCACAAGACTATTTTTCCAGGATAGGTAGGCCTCCTCATGGTGCGTAGAGTGCCATATTCTCTCCAATTTTTGTTTTAAGGCTCGTAAATGAGAATTAAACCAGGAAGCCAACTTCCTGTCCCTAATTACCTTGGCAAAAACATCTAATGCCACACGTAAAGAGGAATTAACATGATGAACTAAGGCATCCATTTGTGAGGGGCTAGAACTGAAAATATTGCCCTCTGCTACATGCCTCTGAGATGCTGAGGACAGTAAAGATGGAACAGTTGATTTAAAAGATTACTTGTCATCCCAGAAAAACTATCCATACAGCACAATATCTCAATCCAAAATGACTTCCTATCTCTGGCTCCTTCAAAAGCAGTTCGAAATCTGGGTGTTGTGATTGATGAACACCTGACCTTTAAAGATCATGTTGCCTCTGTTGCTAGTTCATGCCGCTTTGCGCTGTATAACATACGAAAGATCAGACCATACCTAACACAACATGCCACCCAGCTCCTGGTGCAATCTAGTCATCTCCCGCCTCGATTACTGCAATGCCCTTCTAACTGGTCTTCCAGGCTGTACTGTGAGACCTCTTCAAATGGTCCAGAACGCAGCGGCGCATCTGGTCATCAATCAGCCAAAAAGAGCACACGTCACCCCTCTGGTCATTGAGCTCCACTGGCTACCGCTAGCAGCACGCATCAAATTCAAATTGCTAACATTAGCATACAAAGTCCGAGATGGTACGGCTCCCATCTACCTGAATCCTCTTGCAAAGGCTTACGTCTCGGCCCGGCCGCTCCGGTCATCACAGAATCGTCGGCTAGCAGTGCCTACACCATGCTCAGGACAATCCAGACTCTTCTCATGCATCGTTCCACAAATGTGGAATGACCTTCCAAGCACTGCCAGAACAGGGGTTTCCTTTTCAATTTTCAAAAAACTCCTGAAGACCCTGCTCTTCAGAGAGCATCTTCTTAACTAGCACCTTCCCTGCACCCGTCCCCCCTCTCTACCGTCCAGTCCTTTGTTCCCTCCTCTCCATGATTGATGTCAAGTTGTTGTTGTTATTGTTGTTGTTAGCCTCAAGGGCAACATGCTGATTATCACTTGTAAGTCGCTTTGGACAAAAGTGTCTGCTAAATACATAAACATAAACATCTTGATGCCTCATAGGCGAGGTTTACCGGACACGTAGGAGGAGACTCAAGGGAAGACCCAGGTCACGCTGAAGGGACTGTCTCTCTGCTGGCCAGGGAACACCTTTGGATTGTCTCTATGCTTAGGCTGCTGCCACTGCAGCGTAAAATGCAGTTTGAAATTTTAGTTGAGTATGTGTTTCTTTACTTGACTTATTTCATTAAAAAGCAAATTGCAAGTTAGAGACTCCCATGAACCAATGTTTAGAGAAATATAATAGAAACTTGTTTTAAACATTTTTTATACATACATAAATTATTCAGGCTTCTAGAGTCAGTTATATGCTCAGGGGGAGAGAGTTCCAGAGTCTGGGGGCCACAGCAGCAGATGTGGCCTCCAGACTCTGAGGGCCACAACTATCACCAGGCTAAAGGTCAAATAATTCCTTTGACCTTTAGCCTGGTGCTGCACGTCCAGTAGGCTTTGGTCACTGGACCTCAAGGACCTGCTGGGGGTGTAGGGACTGAGAAGATCACCAATGTATAATGGTGCTTGTCCATGTAAGGCATTCTGAACCACCTGCAGACGGTTCAGGGAGGTTCTGCTCAGACACGTGAAAAGAGAGTTACAGTAGTCTAAGTGTGAGGAGATGAAGGTGTGGAGAACTGTCTCAAGTTCAGAGCGGGACAGAATGGGACTCAGCTTAGCAATGTTCCTGAGATGGAAGAAGAAAGAGCGAACAAGAGAACTGACATGAGAATCCAGGGTGAGAGCTCTGGTCAGGATGCCTCCTGGACGCCTCCCTGGTGAGGTTTTCCAGGCACGTCCAACTGGGAAGAGGCCTAAAGGGAGACCCAGGACATGTTGAAAGGAATGTGTCTCTCACCTGGCCAGGGAGCGCTTTGGGATTCCCCCGAAAGAGTTGGCCCAAGTGGCTGGGGAGAGGGAAGTCTGGGCCTCTCGACTTAGGCTACTGCCCCCGCGACCCGAATCCGGATAAGCAGAAGAAAATGGATGGATGGATGGTCAGTTAATATATTATTAATACTGATGACTAATACTAACGATCATACTCTTTCATATCTGTTCATGTAACGCAGTTTAACACTTAGAGAGAGGGTTCTGTCATCCAGTTCTGGAGCTCATGCGGGCTTCTGTGAGCTGGATCTGACCTAGAGACCAGTGAGCCAGTCCAGCTGGTATTTTTAAAAGCTGCATATGATCCTCTCCTGGTGGTCCAGGCGGCGGTTCTGATCTGGTTCCGACTCAGAAAGCTCGGTCGACTGGCCCGCTGAGCCACGCGTCTTCTGGTGGTGGGTTCTGACATGGTTCTGATGGTAATCAGAGCTCCAGAAATCCACATTAATTTTTTAAACCCCGCCTCGGGTGTCCAGATCCCAGCGCGGACCTCCCTGTCCCGGTACCAACCGATGTGGGCTACAGAAGTCCATCTTTTCAGCTGCAGAAACGCCTGCAGACACAGAGATAGAGGCGTTGTTTCTCTTGTATGGAAACCCGTGGACTCAATGTCCAGACAGGCTGGAGTTGGTACAGCCTTCACAACTCTAGTATCAACATGAGCACAACCCAACACTACTAAACACACACACACTGACCAGATCACATGACCTCTCTACCCTAAAACTAGCCACTCTCCACACTGAGCTGAGGCAGTGCCTAGCTTCTAACTCCCTTTGGTTACGGTCAGAGGTTCAGATTTAGAAACAAGAGCCTTATTAGAAGCTTTGCTGAGAAAGGTCATTTTTTACTAGAAAACTGCTGTTATGTATTTTAAAACCAAATACCACAATAAACTTTTCAAATAGTATTTTTTGAACAGAATTTTATATGAAAAAATTACCTGTAATTTGTGCATTAAGGTTTCTGCTTTTTTACTTGAAAACATTAATTTTACAACATGACAACCACTTTGTACATAATGGTGAAGATCACTTTCTAAGTGGATGTACATTTGTTGGATGTACCAGTTGACTTCGCCTGAAACTGTGATACAGTTACGCTTAATATGTACTATTTATTTTACTTTGTATTAATGTTGTCTGATTAATAAATAATTTGAGTGATTAATTCATTATATGAATAACAGTGAAGAAGTTTGTTATTGTGTTGTGTTGTATGCAGCAGTGGAGGACAGGAAGCTCTTCATTGGAATGATCTCCAAAAAATGTAATGAAAATGACATCCGACTGAAATTCTCTCCATATGGACAGATAGAGGAGTGTCGGATTCTACGAGGCCCTGATGGACTCAGCCGTGGTAAGCAGCAAAAATGACCATTTTCTTCAAAAATTAAATGAGCAATGGTTTACAGGTGTGATGCGAGATAATCCCTCCAGTTCAATTTAGCAGTGAGATCTTTTGTTGAAACATTTAAAATAACTCAGACCTGTACTATTATAAATTATCTTGCCTTACTCTAATGATCTGTACCTTAGACTACATCGTAAACATTTTTGTCAATAATTGATCTAAAAGTCATAATAAATTTCCCAACAAGCTAATTATGGACCAGGGGTGTCGAACTCAAATTCACACTGGGCCAAAATGAAAAACTGGGACGAAGTCGCGGGCCACACTCAATATTTTTTAAAAGTGACGGTAAATGTGCACATTTTCCTTTATCTACAGATATGAATGGTAATTGGAAACAAACTTGTTTTGCAGTAACACTGAATGTGGAACAACCACATTACACACGAGCAAGTCCATTTTAAATAAAGCACACATCAGTGGTATTTGTCATGTCTCAGTTTTAAAAAATATTTTTATACCTTAAAATGTGTAAATAATCATTATTTCTTGAATTTTTTTAATATTTTGATTATTTTAAGTGTTTCTATTTTATGTTTTCTTGTTTATTGTTATTATTTACTCTCCTTTGTTGCTCCTGTAATGAATGTTATTGCTGCTGTGACACCAAGCTTTCCCCACTGAGGGACAATTAAGGGATTTTCTATTTTATTTCTATTCTTCTATCTGTAGTCTGTCCTGTTTTCAAGTAGGTTTAATCTTTTTTCACAGGCCAACAACATAAATGAAAAATAGTAATTCTCTTAAATGAAAATGCAAAATCTCACCTATTAACTTTCATGCTTTGGAGCAGCAAAGGTTCATAAAAACAAAACAATTCAATCCCAGTTTTCTCCACTCTGGTTTCCTGTGATGCTCACCTGTTCCAGCCAGACCTGCACCTGTGGGGTTGGGCTCTAAGCTGAGGAAGGAGTTCATCAGTGAGAAACAGCTGCTCACACAGGTTTGTGCTGCTGGACATGGAGAGCATCTGGACCACGCAGTTGTGTCGGGGAGGGGGATCAAAGCCGCAGCAGCCACAGAGTCATACTGACTTGGGGGTGTCGCTAAACTGGAGTTAAATCATCTCGGTCTGGTAGTTGGTCTGTGTGCTTTCTATGTCAGCAGCAAACATTAATGAGCTGTTAAAATCCATTTCTGGGCTTCAAAGTCGGCTAATTGCTGAGTAAACTCGGCGCTGAGTATGGGGAGTGGTTTCAGTTTGTCCGAGGCAGAGGAGGTAACGCTGCAGACGCTGATGCTAGTAGCATGGAATATGAAAACAAACAAACAAAAGGTATGTTCTGCCTTTTAGCCCTACATCACTGTTACATATACATACAATTATTATTATCATCATATATTTCTTATATATATATATATATATATATATATATATATATATATATATATACATATATATATATATATACTTTATTTGAATTCAACATGAAGAGGCATACAGCAAAAGCACAGTTCCTCTCACGTTACCACAACAGTAGTGGCTCTGATCATTTTAATAATGCAGATAGGCCCACAATAATGAACACATGCAGGTTTAAGCAGCTTTGCAGAGTTTTCATTGAATGTTTTCCACAACAGAATGACAGTAAAGTACCAGTAATATTTTTTAGATCTATTTATGTTTGTTTTTAACGAAATTTCCACTAAAATCAGCATCTCATAGAAAAAAGATCCATACTTTTTAGCTATTTTTTCATAATTCAGAATCAAAAGTTTTTTTAACATGGCAACAAATCTCTTCTAGATTATAGGTGAGAGAATAAACATCAGATTCTAATCTCTAAACATTTCAGATAATAGTTTCTTAGAGTCACTTTTTGCCTCAAATGTCTGAGAATAAGTGATGAAAGCTTTCATTTACTCTCATTATTTCTTCACAGTGCTTTAAGGGCTCAGCATGTAGCAGGTATCTGAAACCGCAGCACCTTGTCTGTGTTAGAGCCTCCATTGTGTTTATCATGGACCTGTCTAATTACTGGAAAACCTGCTTTTGGCCTCTTCATATTAGACTCCGCACGAGACATGAAGAACGACTCAGAAACAACAAAGACTCTGTTGAGTATCTCTGAACACGTTTAATTCACGAGTTTACAGCATTTTCTCCTCCGTGCTCGCTCACGCTTGTTTTGATGGTTCGGGCGCGCTCCACGCACGCTCCGTATCTGCGATAAAGTCCCGCCTCCGTCTGATTGACAGCAACAGGCAGATTTCTCCACAGTTTCTTCTATAAGATTGAAACTTGAAACAGGAAACTGTCAGAATAATGCGGGACATTGGTCTCAATCTGTGGGACTTGTAAAAAGTGATGAAAATGCGGGACTGTCCTGCACAAAGCGGGACATCTGGTCACCCTAGTTACAGGTTCAACGTGTAGCTAGGATCCATGATGGGAACTATCAGGAGGGTTGAATGTCCATTTGATTCCACTTTGAAGGAGGACAAATTGATTTGTGACTGATCCCTCTGCTGGACAGCTGTTCTTAACTCCTGATTCCTTGATTCTACTGTAGTTGTATTGTTCCTCTAAAACACGGTTAACAGGAAATTTAGAAAGAGAAACTGGGTTAAGGTTAGGATAGGGGTGAGGGGAAGGTTAAGTTGCTAGAGGTTAAATGTTGGTGAAATCTTCGTTTTACCGCGGGCATAGAGCTCCGAGAGATGACGTCACTTCTCCCAGCATGCAACAGTTCAAATCGGAACGGCGCCATATTGGCATGCAGAAGCCGGCAGCTGGACTATTTGTTATTGTCAGAAAACTCAATCAAACGGGAAATATGGTAGATTCCTGTTGTGCCCCAGGATGCAGAACAGACACGGACGACATAAAGAATGAGCCATCTACAGGATTCCCCAAGATCCGGAGCGCCGCAAACGTTGGATCATTGTAATAAAACGCACTAGTGACCGGGCTAAAATGAAGCTGTGGGACCCCGAGAGTAAACGATTTCACTTATGCAGCGACCACTTCATAGGTACTTAAACCAACGTTTCCTCAACTGTGTATGGTATTTATTTTAAATGCTTTTATTACGATTCTTAGTGGGCTTCCTAAACTTATTTTGGCGTGGCTTTTTCTGTCTTATTACTCATAGTAGCAAGTAAACATCACCTAAAACATTGCCTCGTGAGTTCTGCGTGCTGCCGTTTACGTGTTTTATGATCACAGCAATTAACCGGCTAAGCTGTATTTAATTTTTAAGCAATGGTTGATCAATTGTCAGATCACACATAAAAAGCACTTTGGATTGCTATTATCTGTCTCACCGAGACTACTTACGTGTAAATCTGTTATTTGTCCGTCCATCCATCCATTTTCATCCGCGTATCCGGAGTCGGGTTGCGGGGGCAGTAGCGTGACTTCCCTTTCCCCAGCCGCCGGAGCCAGCTCCTCCGGGTAAGTCCCAAGGGGTTCCCCGGTCAGGTCCGGTGTTGTGCCGGTAAGAAGTCCGCTCTGACAGCTTCTGGCGTTTTTAAAAAGTATCCCAGGGGCACGGTAAGGGTCGGAGATGTTTAGTCTATTTAATTTCTGACTATATAAAACGATTTCTTCTGTTTTAAAGTGTGAAGTAAACTCCGACGAAGTAAAATCCAAGCGGATCCCGTTCATGTTCATGGTTACATCCGTGTTTGTTTACCTTTTTTGCATGCCAAAATGGCGTCCACTAACTGAGAGTCACGTGGGGTCCGGAGCTCTATTGGAAAGTGACGCTCTGGTACAGCTTGTCGCCTTCCGACACGTCGGAAACAAACGGCAATAGGGTGTAGTACTATCAAATCCTGTGTTTCCAGTTCACAAACTTGTCCTTTTTCATTAATATTTCTCACCAACATCAATTCTAAATACTCCTCTCAGCTTGAAACGCTACATTTTTAAATACATGAACTGTTGACGATGCTCCATGGTCATCCACCATCTTATAATACAGTAGCTGTTTAGCAGGGCCATGCAGAGACCTGTGAAGGGGCAGGTGCTCAAAATTAAAAAAGGGCCACATATAGAGCAACATTTTTAAACAGGTCCACGATCCAACAAGTTTAAAATCTCAGATAATGCGACCCTAGGGTTCAAACAACATAATATAAACAAGTAAAATTATTTCATTTTGTGTCATTATTGAATGTAAAGTTGTTTTATAAAGCTGCCTTACATCTAGAGATGTTACAAACACATTTTTTATCTCTGATTTGAGTCCAAGTTGTTTGATTTTTGATTATCTTCCAATACTGACTGCTGTTCCGATACGTACGGTGGCCCTGAAGTACAAACCACACCAACAAATCACTAAACACAACAACAAATTGAGAAATACAATTACAATAAGAAACCGGAAAAGGTTAGCCTAGTGAACTAGACCAAATTCTTGCTTTGCAAAGTTTGGTCTAGGCACACTCCATTGGAACCTCCACAGCTCCTACTAGGACTCTGGCTAGCCAATCACAGCTCTCCAGAGGGGTTTCAAACACATAAAGAGCTGTGATTGGTCCATAATGGTGGGCCAATCATAGTGCTCCATCTGTGAACAAATCACAGCGCTTTATCCGCTTTGTGGGTCAATCAGGGCACTCTATATGCCTGGTGGGTGGGATGATGCAACAGAGTGAAACAAGAAAATGTTACATTCATTGTCCAGTGGAATGCAGAGATCATTTGAAAGACAACGGTAGAACCCGCCCCACAACCGAGAGCCGTCAATGGAGTGTGGCCACACTAAAGCCCTTTTCAGATAGACATTCTGGAACATTTGTGGACAATTCAATCCGGTTTTTAACCGGAACTGTGCTTTCAGACACACCCTTTTGTACCGGAACTTGTCCTTTCGGCTGCATTCACACAGCAGGGAAAAGTTCCAGATGTCTGACGGCGGCGGGGGTGGGGGGGAGAGAATCGGACTTATGTTAAGAAGAAGAAGAAAATATCATTTCTATAGCGCCCCTCAAGATAA